GGCTGTAGCTTCTAGAAGTTCTTGTCCTCGCTGGTGTACTTAAAACTTCCCCTTTTGAAGCTAAAAATAATTAGAGGGGAACATCAAACTCCCTCTGATTTAATTCTCTATAAAAAGGGAAAATTAAAAGCAGTCCCACTGTAGATGAACATCTTAATGCTCCACAGCCTTGGCTGGGCAGCCCAGAGCCAGCTGGGAGACAAAAATAGCCCCCTCATGTTGGATGGTGTTGAATGCTGCCAGCAAGCCCAGTCAGAGGCAGAAGGAAAAGGAAGCCTGAAACAGGTGGCAAAGCAGAACCTGCTCCTGCCACATCCAGGGAAGAGGTCTTCACCAGCCATCTTGGTCAACAAGGAGGGTTTCCCAAGAGGTGCTTGGTCACGGCAGTTTCTCCTTCCATCTCCCCATGTTTCTCCAGTGTGCACAGTGGTTTCTCCTTCCAGCCCAGATTGGTCCTAAGGAAGGCTCCATGGACCGCATAATAATTTAAAATTTAATAACTTAATGGACTGAAAAGAAAGGCTTCATACACAAATGAGCCAAATTTAAGCCATTGCTGACTGTGAACCTCTGAGAAGACCCATGTGGGCCATAAGCATTAACATCCAGATACTTCCAAATTCATCTGTTGCACCAGAAATGTGATGAGACTTTAGGATATTTTTTCAAGTGCTTTCTCCAAGCCCTCCTGGAGCAACAAAATGAATCCTAACGGTGTCAGTCAGTGCCAGCCTAAGCTCCAAGAACCTGAAGCCTTTCCCTGCTCTACTTGTAGGCCACAGCAACTTTGCTGGTGCATGGGCAAAAGGCTGCGTTGCTTGTTTGCAAAATGCTGTGACCTCCAAGTCTGATATCATGGGATGTCCTGGGGGACAAAAAGGTCTGCCTCAGTCAGAGCTCCTCAGGTTTACTCCATTCTCCAAATAAACAAAATTCTCCTTTTTACCCTGAACGTGAGATGCCAGACTTCACGCCTTTTACCCCATCTCTAGCTGGATATTTCTCACCCTGGATGTGACAGCAGTTTCATTTCGTATATGACATACCAAATTTTGGTGGGAGAGGAGCATGAAACTTGTTTATTTCCAACAGTTG